CACATGACTGGCCACACGCCCCTTCCACTACTCCCCATATGCCTAACCTAAGACCACTAATCCTTTCACCATTCCTATAATTTTGGCACTCCAACAACGTTATATAAATGGAATTGCAGAGCATGCAATCTTTCAGTATTGGCTTGTTTCATGCAACATAACTGCCTCAATATTCATCCAAGTTTTGTATCAACAGCTTTCTCCTTTTGGTTGCTAAGTAGTATTCCACAGTATGGAGCCACCATTGTTTAACCATTCACCTGCTGAAGGACATATGCATGGCTTCCCATTCCTGGCTATCAAGAATAAAGCTACTATGAACATTTGTGTATAGATTTTTATGTAAACATAACCATACATTTCTTTGGGATAAATGCCCAAGAGTGAAATTGCTAGGTCATATGGTGGTTGCCTGTTTAGTTTTGTAAGAAACTGCCAGTGTTTTTCCAGAGCCGAGATTTTAAAACACAAACTCAAGTTAACTTCACCAAAATCAACTCCATTCACCTTCTCTCCACTCCTGTCAACTCATACATCTGCTCTGTGCTGCTGTGGTCACTGGTGAGCCCTCTCCGGGCAGCCATTATTCCTTCCTGCATGGATTCTGCACAGGTCACCCACAGGACAAATGTTTATTAAGGGCTGTTATGAGCCATGGGGCTGGGATGGTTTTTTTCACATTGCTGACATTTGGACTGCTTTTCTGAATTATGAATACACAACAACCTGCAAAAAAACCCTAAATGTACCAAGGAGAAGCAAATCTAACTTGCAACATTTTATTCTTTAAACACACACAGACTCAGATAAGAAAAGCAGTCAAAAGGAAGCAACAGAAAAGCAAGTGGCCCAGAAGATTATCCCAGTTAAGACAGAGCTTGAACCACAATCCTAATGAACATAATACGGATGGCCGTTTGGAACATTCAAGAAAATTACAATGGATCTCAAACTGCCAATAGCATCACTTCTCACTAATCACCTAAGATTATAAAAATAATTTGGAGCAAATTTACATACTCTTATAAAAGGATGCACACTCAGTTTTGTAACTAAATGATCCTCACTGATCATATATGGCACACAAGAAGATAGCCTGTGGACAATAATCTCATTTTCTTGTTAAAACTAGTGGCTACAGGGGCACCTGGGTGGCTCAGTCGTTAAGTGTCTGCCTTCAGCTCAGGTCATGATCCCGGGGTCTTGGGATTGAGCCCCGCACTGGGCTCCCTGCTCGGCGGGAAGCCTGCTTCTCCCTCTCCCACTCCCCCTGCTTGTGTCCCCTCTCTCGCTGTGTCTCTCTGTCGAAAAAAATAAATAAAATCTTAAAAAAACAAAACAAAAAAAACTAGTGGCTACATTTTCAATTTCTTCATCCCCTAAACATTTAATTAAAAAAACCCTTAGGGCGCCTGGGTGGCTCAGTCGTTAAGCGTCTGCCTTCGGCTCAGGTCATGATCCCAGGGTCCTGGGATCGAGTCCCACATCGGGCTCCCTGCTCGGCAGGAAGCCTGCTTCTCGGCTCTCCCACTCCCCCTGCTTGTGTTCCTGCTCTCGCTCTCTCTCTCTGTCAAATAAATAAATAAAATCTTAAAAAAAAAAAAAACCCTTAAATTTCGGGGCACCTGGGTGGCTCAGTCATTGAGCGTCTGCCTTCGGCTCAGGTCATGATCCCAGGGTCCTGGGATCGAGCCCCGCATCGGGCTCCCTGCTCCGCGGGAGCCCTGCTTCTCCCTCTCCCACTCCCCCTTGCTTGTGTTCCCTCTCTCGCTGTGTCTCTGTCAAATAAATAAATAAAATCTTTAAACAAAAACAAAAACTTAAATTTCAACTGGACATCGCTTTCTCGAAACATGTGAAAATAGATGTTAAAAGTCACTTCTAAATTTCCAATCACAATTTATAATGGGATCACTTATAAAGTGCAACCTTGGGGAAATATCACAGGGATTTAACAGAGAATAAAATGGCAAGAAACAATTTTTAAAAGTCAGTACACTGACAAGGCTCCCTAACAAACACCTGTCCACCCGGTTTTCGATGTTATTTCTGTAATGCTGTTAGCACCACAAAAAGCACTGACTTACCCTAACTAGCAGAGAGGGAAGCTAGTTGTTTCAGACAAAACTCAGAAGTGCTGCAGCAGGAATCTGAAGGAATTTCATCCCTTCAGGGCCCCCAACACGCTTCACTGTGTGTAGACTCCTGTCAAACCACTATCTGCCTTTAAGTTCAAACCCTTTCACTGGAAACAGAAATCAAATCTTTTTCTCCCAGGACTCGGCTAAGATAAAAAGCATCCAATACATATGGCCTAGAAAATCCTAATTCCCATGTTCAATCAAAGCAGTATTCAGATAAAATGTCACCGCTTTGTGAGACATACATGCATTTCATACTAGACAGTGACATGTACAGTTCAAAACTGCACAAGGTTGATCAACTTACTGACAAAATGTAACAGGAGGGCAAATCCAAGGAGGTATAAACCCAAGTTTCCTGGGGAAGGTAATTATTCCTCTGAGTCATTAAAGATGAAATCAGGAGGAACTGGGGAGGAGGTGAGAGAGGTAAATAAGAGGGAGCTGATCCAACCCAAAGAAAACTTTCTTTTTTAAAGATTTTATTTATTTGAGAGAGAGATAGCACAAGCAAGAGAGCACAAGCAGGTGGAGCAGCAGAGGGAGAGGGGGGAGCAGCAGAGGGAGAGGGAGAAGCAGAGGGAGAGGGAGAAGCAGAGGGAGAGGGAGAAGCAGGCTCCTCGCCCGGCAGGGAGCTGGACACCAGGCTTGGTCCCAGGGTCCCAGGATCATGATCTGAGCTGAAGGCAGACACCCAACTGACTGAGCCACCCAGGCACTCCCCCCAAAGAAAACTTATAAAGCCCTTTTCCAGAAGAACATTTCCAAGCCCCACATCTTGCTACAGACAGACAAGCCTACTGCTTACTCAAAAAGAAGAGGCTTATAGACTTAGAGAAAGCTCTTTCCTCATCACTGACTCCTCCTGTTCTCACCTGGAGAACTTAAGCAGAGGAGCATGAAAATGAGCACCAAGTAAGTGACATCAAAATATTAGCAGCCACTCTTGACAATGTAGTTATTTGACAGGAAGAATTTAAGAAAACTAAGCAACAGCCTTAGATTCCTCACTCTCCATAACATGGGCCTCAAAACAAAACAAAAACAAAAAACCCTCTAAAATATACTAGAAGAAGCTAAAGAAAGGAATTTTTGTCTACAGGCACTAGACAAGTTCAATCAGGAAAAAACAAACAAAAACTGCAAGCAATTAGGTACCACTCCACTCCAAAGAGAGTGTGATTCCCAGGCTTGCCCAAGCTCTAGGAGAGTAGGGAAACTCTGATACACCCGCACCCAGTGCTGGCAAGGCCAAGCCTGGCAGTAACTGCCAGCCTCCAATCAACTCCAAACACTAGGGCCTGCAGAAATTCCATTCACAAATTCCGGGGTCCGGGATCTGCTCACATGGCGAACAGCAGCTCAGGGAGAAAGACCCCAGGACCAGGGACAATAGCACCTGCCAGTACCCAGTTGGCCTGTTTTTCCCTTTTCCAGCTGCTACTGAGTTTCTCGTTCCCACACTTCATTCACAGCCTGACTGGCTGCTGTTACCTACATCCCACGAGACCACACACAAAGCATCACACACAAAGCATAGTGGCAGCAATGTGAGCAATCCGCGGAGATTCCCAACCACAACTATCTGAGATTAAAAAAAAGAGTCTGAAGCCCTAAATTTGAGTCCCGACTCTGGGTGGCACCTTAGGTTTTCCTGTGGAACCCACATATGCCACCAGGCCACTCACTTTAAAGAGGAGAGAATCCCAAGCAATCAGAAAAAGATTCAGAATCACTGAAATACCTAAGTCCAGAAAAAGAAGCCTTCTCAGAGAAACTGGCACTCCCTTACTGATCCATCATGTCCCGTGAGCAGAATCCCAAGCAACGGGTCAATCAATTTTGGAAATACTGAGAAGAGATGGCTTATCTTCCCCAGTTCTGAACTGGGGGAGAGCGTGCTGATCACTGTACAACCCAGATAATTCATCCAGGCGCAGGATTCACTGGGGCAGAACTTCAACTCAGTCACTCAACTACTTGAGAAAATAAGGTAGAAAACCGTTTTAAGCTCTCATGTATGGGTCACAATCTTGCAAGTTTCAGCGTACCCAAATATCGCACCAGATCACCATTTTGAGGAAGGATGCAAATCCTAAGCAATCTGGAGAAAATTCATCATCAATGAAACACCTGAACTAAAGAAAGGGAAAGCTTAAACCCTCCGCCAAATATGGGTCCTGACCTGGGGGAGGCCTGGCCGACTACAGATTTGGGAACCCCATGCACCGATAAAGGCCTCCGGTGCAATCAGCGTGGGAACGGGGTTTCAGGGAGGAGGTCCGCGTCTCCACGCCATGTAAGGACAAAGGCGGCGACATTTCCCGCCTCGGGAACCTGGGACTCTCCTGGAACCGGGACGGGACTGGGACAAAGACTAGAAAGGAACGAGGAGGGGGGTCGCCCCTGCCGCTCCGGCCAGGATGCTACCGGCCAAGGGGGGTGTGTGCTCCCGGCACGTGCGCGCGTGCGCGCGGGGCGCCGCAACAGACAAAGCCGGGCCCGGGGGACTCGGCGGCCGGGGGCCCGGTGCGCGCGCACCCCCCGCGCGAGGCGCCGCCGCCGGCCGAGGGGCCGCGAGGGGGGGCGGATGCGCGCGCACCGGGCCCTCGCCGCCGCCGCCGCCATTTTGTTTCCTCGGCACAATGGGGGAGAGTAACGGCCGAGCGCGGGAGCGAGACTGGAGAGGGAGAAATGAGCCAGGCGCTGGGGCGAGGGAACCGGGCGTAGGCGGGGAGCGCGGGGCGCCTGAGGCCTTGTCACCGCGACCCCTCAGCCTGGCCCGCGCTGAGTGGGAGGACTGGCGGGGGGAGGGGCAGAGGCGGGAGCGGGCCCGGCCGCCGCCACATTGACGCTTACCTTGTCGGCGTTCCCTTCCCCGACCGCAACCGCCGCCGCCGCCCTCCTGCCACAGCCCGCCGGGGTCTCCCCCCAAAAGCCACGCGGTGCGCACCGGGCTGCTGAGTCCAACTGCAATGGCGAGAAGAGGAGGAGGAGGAGCCGGGGCCGGGGGCGAGCGGGCGGACGGGCGCGCGCCGGGGAGGTGCGGGCCACGTGATCGCTGGAGCCCCGCCCCCTGCCGCCGCGTTGCCGCTTGACGCAGGCCAAGCCGGGGAGGGAGGGAGCGACGAAAAGAGATAAGGTGGGCTTCAGTCACGTGGCAGGAGCGCAGCCGTTGCGTTGCTGGTCACGTGGCATCGAAACGTTTCGAGGCCTTGATCATGTGACAGTGGCCAATGTAGAGGCCTCCTTGGCCACGTGACAAGGAATTTGGCGCTGCCCTTTGCTGTATTGGTAGGTCTGAGTCATGTGATGTGGTCGCCGCTCTTTTTTTCCAATGGCGATTTTAAGCGGCATTACCACGTGATCCAGGTCGAGGGGCGGAGTCTCCCCTGCTGTGAGTCTATGCGCCTGCGCGGTTGCCATCTTACGCCCGTCGCTCATGTGTACGTTGGCGGAAACGGCTCGGAGAGCGAGGCACGTGAGTGTCCTCATAGTGGCCGGATTTCGGTCGGGGAGGTTAGTCCTCCGTCCGAGGTTACCTGGCGGAGCTTCCTCCTCTCTCTCTGCATCTCTCGCTAGAGGCCAAGAAGACCCGAGATTCGGGTGTCAGCAACGGCCGGACAGATCTTCTTGTTGCTGCCCCGGGACCGGCGCCGGTGAGCGCTCCAGTTCTTTGGTCCTGCAAACCCCCAGTGTAGCGTCTGGCCGCCCTGCCGGGCCCGGCCTCCAGAGGACAGAGCCCAGCTGCTAGGGGTCTTCTAGTGTCCCTTTCACAGGTGGAGAAACAGGCCCAGCTGGAGGATTCACATCCATGTGTGAGAGCCGGGTCTGCGGTCACAAGCTCGGCCAACCACAGCTCGGGGTTGTTAAGTAAAGGCGCCGGGGACCGAGCGCTTTCTCTTTTCAAGCCGGTTGTTGTTGCATCCTCCCGGAGTTTCGTGAGATCCCCGATGTACATACAGTCTGCCTACAGGAAGCCCCGCTCCCCTCCAGTGTCAGAATCAAGCTGGCGCTTGACAGACCTCGTTATTAGGAACGTTGTCATGTGCGAGGTTGTTGTTCAGAAACTGCCGGGACTCGGAACAAGGAATTATTGAAAAGGTTTCCTTCTTGAAAGTGAGTTAAAGACTTAACGGCATAGTAATGGTTTTTCCTAGCAGAAATGTAGGGATGTAAGCGCCTTTGTTAAGGATGCAAGACCCAGTATCTGCTCTAGGTTTGAGTCCCCCGGTGTGACCAAAAACAGCCCACTTCTCTTGAGCCTCCGTTTCCTTATCTACAAAATGGTTACGATTTTGTAGATAAGCACTTGGCACTTGGCACAATTCTGTGTGCGGAATAAATGCCTCAAAATGATAACTATTCTTAAAAAGGTAAGATGTGGGACGCCTGGGTGGCTCAGTCGGTTGAGCGTCTGCCTTCGGCTCAGGTCATGGTCCTGGGGTCCTGGGATCGAGCCCCGCATCGGGCTCCTTGCTCGGCGGGGGGCCTGCTTCTCCCTCTGCTTGCCGCTCCCCCTGCTTGTACTGTCTCTCTCTCTCTCTCTCTCTCTCTCTAGCAAATAAACGAATGGGATCTTTAAAAAAAAAAGTAAGATGTAAAAATGTTACAGAAATGGGTGCATACTCTACCTACTGCTTTTCTCCTATTTACCTTTTATTTAGGATTTTGAACAGATAATCTGTTCACCTGATACAAAATGTCAAAAGTTCAAGAGTGTGAGGACTAAATCAATCAGCCTCCCCTCCTTAGCAGCCAGTGTTAAGTTTTGTGTGTAACTCTACAACGGTGTTTTATTCATAGAGTTGCTTAGATTTATTTTTTATTTATTTATTTTTTGCCGTTTTTCACACAAATGTAGACATTCTGCGTCTTGCTCCCCCCCCACTTCACCAATTTGGAGATCTCTCCTAAATAGAGCTTGAGACTGAAGAAAGTTTTGGTAAATTTAAGGGCCCTTGTATTCAGGTAAAATTGGTTAAAGTAAATTTAGATTGTTTAGGGTCATCATGACAAGCAAGGTGATAACTGGCTTTAACAAATTAGAGACCAGCAATTCGGGACACTTCAAGGAACAGGCTCAGCGGGCGTGCCAACTTGACTAGGCTAACAGCGCTACCAAGTGGCAGAACGCGGAAGGTTTCTAGTTTTCCGACTCCCAAGTCCATAGATGGTTTTTGGGAGGGGCCAAAGATTAGATTTCTTTTTTTTTTTTAAGATTTTATTTATTTGACAGACAGAGACACAGAGAGAGAGGCAACACAAGCAGGGGGAGTGGGAGAGGGAGAAGCAGGCTTCCCACCAAGCAGGGAGCCCAATGTGGGGCTCGATCCCAGGACCCTGGGACCATGACCTGAGCCGAAGGCAGACGCTTAACGACTGAGCCACCCAGGCGCCCCCGAAGATTAGATTTCTGAAGAACTTGCTTTTGAGGCGGCCCCAAACACAGAAAGGGGTAGATAGGATCATGGTTATAAGCAAAGGCTTTAGATCAAACTGCAGTCTTCACAGAGGAGCCCAGGGCAGATTTGAGGAGTTTTTCAATCTCAAGGGTTTGCTAAGGATGCATGGAATGAGTGCTGGGGAAGCTGGTGTGGTTCTGATTGTTACCTATCGGACTGGTGGCTCATCCAACCTGGATTTTGTAGTAAGGGCTGCTGGGCAGCAGTTGGAGTGTCAAGGAAACCAGGCTCCCTTAAAAAGTGCCGTCTGGGGGCTCCAGGGTGGTTAGGTATCTGATTCTTGGTTTCGGCTCAGGTCATGATCTCATGGGTCCTGAGATCAAGCCCCGAGTCGGGCTCCGCACTCCACGGGGAGTCTGCTTGAAAATTCCCTCCCTCTGCGCCTCCCCACCCACTCAACGCATGTGTGTGCGCTCGCTCTCTCAAATAAGTAAATAAGTTTAAAAAAAAAAAGTACGTTCTCTTGGAGGCACCCCAACCCCACCCACCAGGAGTGGCCGGATGAGAGGTTTTCAGCCCAATCTTCTGACAAGCTACAATCCATCCTGCTCCTTGTCTGTGTTCTCTTTGGTCACCATGCAAGGCTGAAGCCCCAAGGTGCCACCTGCCCTCTCTTGTCCCTTCATCTCCACCCTGATGCAGCCTCCCACTACTGCCCTTGCCTTTCCAGCACTACATGGTTATCAATCCCTGTATGCACAACCATTCTCTGACTTCCCTGCCCTGACATGCCCTGTCATCTGGCTATGCACCCCCTGTCCCCATTACAGCCTCTCCCTCAACAGTTGAAGAGTAAGGTCTGTCCCCTCCTCTTGCCTTCCCTCTGTCTAGCCAGGTTCTGTCTTCCTCGGGGACTTTAGTGTTCTCATGAACATGCTCTCCATTTCTTGCCTTCCTCCTCTTCAGAGATTTCTCGCACTTCAGCCCCCTAACCCCAATCACACTGAGGGACTTTTCCTTCTGAATCCTTTTTGACCCATGCCTGTTGCCTTCCTCCCCTCTCAGCGGAGTGGACGTGGGTGGACCACAGTGTTTTGGGGAACTTCCCCTCTTCCTTGCTCAGTCTGGAGTTCAGTTGACGAGTCCCTGCTATCATACTCTGAAACTAGGTCCATGGCATGGACACAGTGATTGGCTTAGGAGTAAGGGACCCAAATCCAGCCAGTCAGAGCCAGTGAGCCCCAGGCCGGGGACTCTGCATGAGAAGCCCTTGTTGTTCTATTCTTGAAGCCAGGGAAATACCAGGTGGGGTTGGGGTGCAGCCGGGAGTAGACCTTGATGAAAGAACTTGACAGAATGAAACCAACCAGGAAGAAAGCTCAGCTAAAAGATGGAGCAAGAAAACAACATGGTGTATTCTCCCCCAAATTAAACAACATATCCAGCAATTCCACTTCTGAGTATATGCCCACCAGAAATGAAAGCAGGGACTCAAGATACTTGCACACCCCTGTTTATAGCAGCATGATTCACAATAGGCAAAAGGTGGAAATAACCCAAGTGTCTGTCGATGAACACATAAACAAGTTGTGATATATGCAGACAAGGGAATGTTAAGTATTCTACAGCCTTAAAAGAGAAGGAAATTCTGACATATGCTACAATGTGAATGAACCTAGAGGATGTTACGTTAAATGAAATTAGGCACAAAAAGCTAAATACTGTGTGACTCCACTCATAAGAGGTCTCTGGAAGAGTTCGATTCATAGAGGCAGGAAGTAGAATGGTGGGTGCGTGTGGGAGGGGGAGTTTGTGTTTAATGGGGACAGTTTTCATTTGGGAAGAACAAAATGTTCTGGATGTGAAGGGTGGTGATGGTTGCACTAAAGTGTGAATGTACTTCATGTCACTGAGCTGTACACTTAAAAATGGTTTGGGTGGTAATTTTTATGTGTATTTTGCAGCAATTACATATTTTAAAGATTTTATATTTGGGGCACCTGGGTGGCTCGGTTGGTTAAGCGTCTGCCTTCAGCTCAGGTCTTGATCTCGGGGTCGTGGGATTCCCTGCTCAGTGGGGAGTCTGCCTCTCCCTCTCCTTCTGCCCCCACCCTGTTCATGCTAGCACTCTCTCTCACAAAATAAATTTAATTTTATAAGTAAACATATTTATTTTGACAGAGCACGCGCGTGCGCGCATGTGACAGGGAGAGGGGCAGAGGGAGAACGAGAATCCCAGGCAGACTTCCCGCAAAGTGCAGAGCCCAATGCGGGGCTTGATCTCACGACCCTGAGATCATGATCTGAGCCAAAACCAAGAATCTGACACTCCACCGACTGAGCCGCCCGGGCGCCCCAGCAATATTTTACATTAAAAGAACGAGTAGTGAAAGTGGAGCCGTATCATGGCCACATAAGTTTGAGCCCCAGGATGTTGAGACGCGGGGAGAAAAACCGGCATGGCCGCAGAGCGATGCTATCATACGGGCCAAGTGTATGTAGGACCCCAGCCACCTGGAGTTCGTCATCTTCGCCTGCCAGGGCCCTCTAGGCCGTCCTGAAGTTCCTGCTGTTCTAGCTAGTTCTTGCTCTTGCTCTCATCCCACAGAGCAGCTGGCTGCCGGTCGCTTTGGCCTGCTGGGTCTCCGTTCCCCCTTTGTTCTGAAAACCAAGGTTTTCCCTTAGGGAACCACCTCTCCCTCACTGTGTTTCCACCACCCAGTCTCTGCCTTGGATCTGGCTGATCAAAACCCCACTTCTTTCCTGGTCCAGTGACTGGTGCAGAAATGATGTTTCACCAGAACTGGCCAAAGACTAGGCCACTCTGGGACTTGCCTCCAGTCATCTGAGAAATAGAAGGTCTTTCTGCTCGGGCAGGTGGGCTGGGAGGGTGTGAGCCTGGGATCTACAGTTTGACATGTCCTTTCACACCTTCCTCCATTCACTCAAGCATCCTGTCACCTCGGGGCCTTTGCACTGGCCGTACCCTCTGCCTGAAACACTCTCTTCCCTCAGGTATTCAGAGCTCCCTCCCTCACTTCTCTGAGCTCCCTGCTCCAGCTGCCCTGACCACCATTTCTCAAACAGCACTGTCAGATTATCCTGCTTTATTTTTCTTCAAAGTGTCTATCACCACTTGTTACATATTTAGTTATTATCTGTCTCTCTGGCCAGAGAGTAAACTCAGACCAGGGAACATGGTTCTGGTTCACCCTGGCTTAGAGCACTCGATACAGTGAGTAAATGCATGAGTGGGTCACCCACCACACCTGGCCCCCACTGTGCCCAAGTCAGCCCAACCTCCCGGACAGGAGCCGAAGAGGAGCTCCCCATTTCCCTGAAGCCACTTTTTTTTTCAATGAAGGCATAATACAATCATTTACGGGTACATCTTGGTAACTGTTTACATATGCATCTGTGTGAGCACCACCCGAATCAAGATAAGGGGCGTCGGCACAGCCCCAGGAATCTCCCTCCTGCCCCTAGCCAATCCCTGGCCCTATTACATCCCCTGGATTAGCTTTACCTGTTCGAGAATGTTACAGAATTGGAAGACCTCTTTGTGTCTGTCAGTTGCCAGAGCCACTTTGTTTTCCGCCAGCCTGTAACTAGCCCACACACCCATGCCTGCAGGCCTCCTTTCCGCTAGGGCAGCGGGCTCCCTCCCCTTGGCCTGGCCGCACCACGTGGAGTATTCTGGATTGGTACCTCTCAGAGCTGCAAACCACAGAAATGAATGCTGGCCAACCCAAGCAGAAAAGAGCTTGCGTACAGCCCACCGGTGACACAGACCATCGGGGAGGGTGGGAGGAGCTGGCCTTGAAGCTGTGCAGCGCGGAGCTGCTGCTGGGGACACAGCGAACAAACCATCCCATGGCCCTGCCCTCGTGGAGCTGACCTCACTGGGGAGGCAGGTGATAAACAATAAGCAAGGTAGTGGCGAGTGCAGTGGATGAAAATAAAGCAGCGCGGTGGTGATGCGGGGCTGGGGCAGGTGACATTTTGAGTTGCGCATTGCACAGCAAAGTCCTTACGGGGAGCGAGGGACTGAGGCCACGCAGCTTGCTGGGAGATGAGCATTCCAGGCAGAGGGAACAACCAGTACAAAGTCCCAGAGGTTGACCGTGCTTAGGGAAAGAGCAGCAAAGAGGTCTGAGGCACTGGAAGGGGGCTAGGGTGAGAGGTGGGAGGGAGGGCCGTCCAAGAAAGGGTGGATAGGTCCTGCAGGGCCCCAGAGACCTTGGCTTTCACCCCGAGTGCTTTGAAAGCTAGGGGCGGTTTTTGGACAGCAGAAAGCTAGCATCCCTCCTGCATCTCCCCTTGCACATACCCTCAAGCCCCTGCGCCTCTTTGTCAACCCCAAACTAAATCCACCTTCTGCCTGCACCTCCCACCTTGGTGAGTTTGGGAGAGAAAAACCCCACAGTCCTAACATTGCTCATTCATGTGGTGTTCCCCCAATTTTTCACACCTTGTTACGGCTTCCAACGTCACATGCTCTGCCCTCCGCTGACGTCCTTTTTTTTTTTTTTTAAAGATTTTATTTATTTATTTGAGACAGAATGAGAGAGAGAGAGAGAGCATATGAGAGGGCAGAGGGTCAGAGGGAGAAGCAGACCCCCCGCCGAGCAGGGAGCCCGATGCGGGACTCGATCCCGGGACTCCAGGATCATGACCTGAGCCGAAGGCAGTTGCTTTAACCAACTGAGCCACCCAGGCGCCCTCCGCTGACGTCCTTCTTACCGTGCTAGAAAATAGTCGCTCCATTCGTTTGCTCCCACACTAAAGCCAGGAGCAATTGTGCCCACGCTTTCTGCCTTCCACACAGCTCCAGATGCTGCCGTTCTCTGGCTCTCCCCTGAGTCCACTTTTTTTCCTTCTCCCCGGGGTTCAGACCTCCCCTCTCTGGACACTTAACTCCCCAGGTGATCTCAGCCATCCCCACGATCTCAAAGACCATCAAAACACACTCCCGATCACATGCCTCCAGCCTAGAATTCTCCTGTGAAGTCCCGACACATCCAACCATCTATGTGACCGCTTCCCTTGGAGATTTTGTATGAAGCAAGTCAAAATACACCGACCTGCCTGGATCCCTTCGGCCCGGCTTTATCATCTCTGCCTGGGCTTTACGGGCTTTTGCACAACTGCCTGCCCACCAACTCTCTTCAGAGAACTACCCTGGGCTTGGGACCACGTTGCCAACACTCTCAAGAGGATCAGACTGGGTCATACTGGACACTTTGCCTCCACGCCCAGGAGAATCAGATGTGCCTGGGATCGTCAGCTCCTGGGCCACCGTTAGTCCGTGACCTACCAGTTCAGGACAGCTCTGAGATGTCACTTATCCGCCCAAGCTCCCTGCGGGCTCAAGCAACAGGTGCCCTCCACGGGACTCTGCCTGAGCTTGCTCCCCTCAGCCCCGCTTCCTCCTGCTGCTTTGAGTCCTCTCTCTTGCACATGCAATCAATCAAGTCGAGCTCCGTCTTCAAATGACATGCAAAATCTGCATGCTTTTCATCATCTTCACCAAGACCACCTGAGTCCAGTCCACCAGCAGCACGTGCCCAGATTAGTGCAGTAACCTTTTTTTAATTTAATTTTTTTTTAAAGATTCCATTTATTCATTTGAGAGAGTGAACGTGCATAAGCAGGGGGGAGGGGCAGAGGGAGAAGCAAACTCCCCACTGAGCAGGGAGGCGACATGGGGCTCAATCCCAGGACCCCCCCCCCGAGATCATGACCTTAGCCAAAGGTAGACGCCCAACTGACTGAGCCACCCAGGTGCCCCAAAAATCTTTTTTAAAGTAGGCTCCACATCCAACCCAGGGGCTCAAACTCACGACCCTGAAACCCAGAGTCACAGGCTGTACTGACTCAGCCAGGCGCCCCTCCAGTAACCTCATTGGTCTTCCTGCTCCCACTTTTGTATGGTACCATCTCCACACACAGCAGCCGGAGAGTTTTGAGCATGCATAAAAGACTGGAAACTTAGATGCTGGCGTATGCTAACACACTAGTAACAGTGGACACGCTGTGCACCAGGCCAGGCACTGTGCCAAGCCCTTTGCAGTCATTCAGCTGTTCTGTGCCTTTGTGTACCACGCACTCTGCCCTGCTCTGGGATAAGGTGGGGGGAAAAAAGAGGCCAGATCTCTTTCCCCTTTGAGCGAACATGCTGGGTGGGGAGGCTAACCATTATGAAGTGAAAAGACAAATACTTGCAGATTGTGACAAATGCCATGAGAAAAATAAAGAGGGTGATGTGTGGTCACCAAGAGAGGCCTTTGATGAGCCCAGAAGACTTCCTGGAGGAGGTGATTCCTGAGCTGAAAGCCAAAGGATGAGGAGCTAGCCACACAAAGAGCCAGGTGAGGAGCATTTCAGGCACAAGCCCTGGGGCCAGGGTGGCTGGATGAGTCAGCAAGGGGGAGCCCCTGAGGCAGATGGGGGCAGGGCCTCATGAGCCGCAGTGAAGACTTTGGCTGCTATGCTGAATAAGGTGCGAGCCATGGAGGGTTCTTGAGCAGAGAAGGGGTGTGAACTTACTAGAGTGTTTACAAGCACCCTTTTGCACCTGTGTGAGGAACCGTGGAGAAGGGGAGGTGATGGCAGGAGCCAGGGACCTGGGTAAGGGACTGCGTTGGTTCAGGTGGGTGATAATGGGGGCTGGGAGCTGAAGATGGGGAGGAAGTGGGTAGGTTTGGGAGGTATTTTGGAGGCGGGGCTAACAGGAACTGGGGATAAGGAAAAGAACAAACTCAAGGAGGCGACACTCTCTGGGGTCTGTACAGGGTAGCGGGTAAGGGCCTGGGGTCAAGGAGACCTGGGTTCAAGTGCCTTCTAAGCCACTTTCCCACTGGCCACCTTCAGAAATGTAACCCAACCTCCCAGCCTCAGTTATCGAGGAGAGTAATAAAAGTGGTATATATGGTATGCAGAGAGGAAGTACTCAAGAAATGGTGGCTATTGAAGAAAAATTCCAAGGGTGGGAGTACAGGGAAAGGCAGTGGCCCAGCTAGCTGACAGCGACAGCTGGCAGCAGGGGGCAGCAGCGAGCCTTCAGGCAGCAGGGCAGGGCTCAGCTCTTGGCAGCTTTATAGGTTCAAAGAGACTGCACTAGCCTGTGGGCGCCTCAGGTGACTGGGCCTGGGGACAAAGCAGGCCTGGGGGCATGTGTCCAGGCCATGGGACTGAGGAGGTGGGCGGGAGGTGGACAGGCCGTCACTGCCTTCTGGAGTCTAGGGATCAGACCCTAATAAGAGGCATTTTGGGGGCACGTGGATGGCTTAGTTGTTAAGCGTCTGCCTTTGGCTCAGGTCATGATCCCAGGGTCCTGGGATCGAGCCCCACATCGGGCTCCTGCTCTGCGGGAAACCTGCTTCTGCTTCTCCCTCTCCCACTCCCCCTGCTTGTGTTCCCTCTCTCGCTGTCTCTCTCTCTCTGTCAAATAAATAAAATCTTAAAAAAAAAAAAAAAAAAGGCATTTTGTTCAGGAGAAACCTGAGCTGCCTGCGTGGTGGGATTCAGGCAGAGATGGGGCCGGCAGTCGGAGGGCTTCCTGCCCTCCCTCCTTCCCCGGGAAGACTCGCCCCAGCTCAGAGACTCAATCCCAGGGCACTCGAAGCCGGGGTTCCTCCCACCAGCCTCCTACTCCCTCCACAAACACTCCAGGCCCGGGCTCTGTACAATAGGCACTTTATTAGTGGTTGGAATGCAGTTAACACGCAAGAGTGTGCAGACAGAACGGGGGGCCTGAGGGCTGGCGGGCAGGCACAGGAGACTGGGACCCCAGGCTGGGTTTCTCCCTCTCTGGGGTGCCGCCGTGGTGCTGATGAGCAAAGACATGAAGTCAGGGGGCCGGGGATAGGGCGAAGGGGGAGCCGGGAGACCAGGTCCCCGGAGTTCAACGAATTTGGCAAAAGGATCCCTCAAAGTGAGGTGACGGGGGGGGGGGGGCGGGTTTGCCCACAGCATCTGCGCCAACCCCTTACCCTGACATCGTCCCTCGGGTGGATTCAGCTGCTTGCTCTCTCACAGAGAGAGCTGTCGGCACTGGCGGGAGAAGGGGAGACATTGGGCCAGACGCCTCCAGCCAGCCAGCAGGTTTCCATTAATTAAGCAGCTGTTAGCGGGCTCCTTCCTCCTGCTCTGGTCTGTCCACACCGGTCTGCTCCCCGATCCCAGCAGCCCTCCCCCGACAGACTCACTCCCTCTCCTTCCAGGACACCCCTGCCGTGGCCTCCCATGCCAGGAGCCACCCCCACCTGGCCTCGCCACTCCCACCCCAGCAGGGAGGGCATGACACAAGGCACTCCGCAGCTGGCCCCATCTCAGCCGTGGAGACAGACAGAAAAAAGCTAATAGACCCTTTAATGCATGTCCGGGTTAAAAAATAATAATAAAGAAACGCGTATGGCAGCCTATGAGGCAGCTGTTCAGCCGTCGAGAAGGTGCTCAGTCCTGGCCAGAGCAGACACGAGTGAACGGGGGGCCTCAGGGGCTGGAGCTTGGTCATCACTCTTGCAGACACAGATGCTGCCCCATCGGAAGAGGAGAACAGGAAGCATGAGGCAGCCCACAGAGGTCGGGCCCCCCTGCCTGCCAGACATCAAGAGGCCTCACCAGACTTCTCTCCATCCGGGCCAGCAAGGGCTGGAGTGACCTATGCGTGCAGTCCTGGGGCGCCGCCTGTGAAAACTCCAACTGCCCCTTGGCATAGGGAGGAGAGGCCCCAAATCTTCCAGGTCCCTGGAATCCAGCGGTAACTGGATGGTTGGGGAGGGTGGGGGGAGGCGGCAGTGATCGGACTTCAGGTGAGCCCAGGCGGCCAGGGGTTCTGACCCAGCTGCCGAGCACCCAGTGTGAGACTTCTGGAGAGGTGGGGGGAGAGCGGGGGGCCTTTAGGACTCAGCCAGCTTCTTGTTGGTTTTGTTCAAGAGCCTCTTGAGGTTGGGAGACATGAAGTAAGGCCTCTCAGTTGAGCCATCATTCCTCTCCAGGTCCTCCACTGTGGAGAGAGGCCCCCAAGACGGTGGCATGAGGGGAGCCCATGGGCAGGGGCCTCCAGGGACAGGGTGGGAGGATGAGGGCCACAGAGAAGGCTCAGAGGGTTAGGAAGCAAGACACACTGGGACTGGAGAGGGGCAGGCTGTGGTGGGCTCGGGAATGGGACACGAACACGCTCCCCACACTCCCAGGCAGGGTTGCCCCGCATGCACCCCCGGTCTACAGGGAGGAAACGAGGAGGCCTGCCTGGCCCCCACGCCTCCCTCCCTCTCTACTCCTCAACTTCTGCCCGCTTCCCCTCCTCCGCACTCCCCTTCAACAGGATGTCTCTCAGCTCGGGCGACATGAAGTAGGGTCGCTCCTGAGAGCCGTCATTCCTTTCCAGGTCCTCACCTGGGCTCCCCCCAGGAACCGGCAGGGGGAAAATGGGGTGGTCAGGAAGGGAGGGAAAGAGGGAGGCAGGGAAGAACAGGGAAGCCAGCAGGCATGGAGTAGAGGAAAAGAAAAAAAAAAACAGACAGATGGAGAGACCAGAGTTAGTAGCAGCCACAGATCCTCCCCCAACAAAGCCGGAAACTCCAAAGCCGAGGGCCCAGGGGCACAGCATTCTAGCTGCACCCTGGACCAGGGGGCAACAGGATGGAGCAGCTCCGAGCAGAGGGAGGAGGCCGAGAAGGCATGCCAGGGCCCTCTGACGCGGAACAGCTAGTCCCCGGGGAAGCTGGGGGGCTCCTGGCCGTTGAATACATAGCCCCATCAGATGTTATGCCCAGAGGGGAGAAGGCAGCCAGGGCCTGGCAAGGTTGGGTTGAGGGGTCACTCACAGAAGCAGAGGAACAACGTGTCCACACACATGCCGTAGACACTGAAGAAGCCATGGGCAATCAGGTAGGAGCCGATGATCACCGTCTAAGCAAGGGGAGCCAAGCTGTTTCCACCCCAGCTCCTAGAGCAACTCCCACTCCCCACACCCTCCCAGGCTCGGATCCTGTCATTTCCCTGCTGACAAGCCCTCCTTAGAATAACATACTAAGTCCTGCCATTCACTCCTTGTTTTCTTCAACCCCAGGGCCTTTGCACATGCTGTTGTCCTGACTTAGTCAAGTTTTTGTCTTCTTATCCTTCTGTTTTCAGTTCAAACATGAAGTCCTCAGATACCACCTCCTCCAAGAAGTTGCTTCTGACATCTAGACCCTGTTTTATGCTCTCCTAGCACTGCATGCCTGTCCTCTGAGACCTTTGGCTGGCTGCAATTTTATGCGTGTTTAGGGCGTTACAGGCATAATGCCCTCATCCCCACTAGACTGTATCTGTCCCACGTACGGCCACACCCCCCAACAATTTGGAGACTCACAGGGCCTTGGCAGGTATCTGATAAACACTTACGGATTGAATTGAGTGGACCATGGAGAGATTAAATAACTTGCCCAAACTGACTCATCTTAGAGCGAGCAAATAGAGAACTCAGATAAAAATCTAGGTCATTGGGCTCCAAGGCCTGCACTGCTCTCAGGGTGATGACATTACCCCTTCATGGCCCCACCACCTCCCTGCCCTTATCCCCACCTCCTCCCCCCTACACCAGTCTCCTCACTATTCCTGGCATAGGCCCACCTCAGGGCCTCCGTATTTGTGGATCCCTGTGCCTGGAGGTTCCCCGTATCTCCTTCAGATCTTAGATCCGACATCACTTCCAAAGTGAAGACACCTGGCCTTCCAGGCCTGCCCAGATCCTCCACCACAGGCTCTAACAGTTTAACGGTTCCCTGTAACTCTCCCCTGTGGCACGGATCAGTCTGTAATCATGAGGTCTATTTGCTTCTGAAAGGTAAGGTCCTCTGGAGGGAAGCCTTTCCTGCCACCCCTCCCGCCCCCGGCCTGGTACACAGTAGGTGCTTACTACATGTTTACAGACTGAATAAATCATCAATCCCCCACCTGTGATCTCCATCCACATCTGTCTAGTCAAAAGAGACCAGGAGGCCCCAGCACCTCCTTCTCCCTGGACCCCCACGCATCCCCAAAGGTCCATACCAGTATAGGGACCCAGTAATAATTGAGGGGCGGCGCTGTGTCCTGCACAATCCTGATCCGGTGGGTGAAGAAAAAGAAAGCCAGGATCCCTAAAGAGAGGGAGGAAACCAAGATGGATGAGGGTTCTGGCTAAAGGAAGCCCCCTGCCCACGACCTCAGAGAACATGACACTCGTCACAAAAGAAGGGGGGGGCCAACAGCACTGTGCAAGTCACCCCGACACGCTTGTCACAAAAGATGTGGGGGCCCAAAAGCACTTCGCAAGTCACCCCGGCAGGCTCCCACAGCCCCACGGGCTGGCCAGCAGCACTCACCCACACTACCCACGATCAGAAGTTTGCCCAACAGGAAAAGGAAGTCGGTAACTTTGTCTAGGACGGCCACTCTGCAGGGGACAGTGAGAAGCAGGCATGAAGGCGGGCTCAGGGACTGGGGGAGGAGGGAGGCAGCCCGAGGGCCATGCTTTCCCTGACCTGATGATGTTTCTCATGAGCAGGAAGAAGGCATTCCTGGCCGAGGTGCAGAAGTTGGTGCCATAGATT